TCTTCAGGAGGATATATAAGAGGAAAAGATATGAATAGAATGGTTGATCTGTTTGCGATAAAATAATAGCTGGCAGTTATTTCAAAGACTTCGAATATCTATCAACAGTTACATTCATTGAGACTTCATAATATTCACTTCACACTTTACCAATAGCTTTCAACACTTTATGTAACACATTGTAATATTTCTTTAACAGTTATGAAAATAGTAATAGTAGGGGATGAATGATAGTATACAATATACGGGAGTTTACAAGCTGTAAAAGCGAATATGGGACAGTGAAAAAAACAGGTAGTCCCTTTTGTATAGTAAGCCAAACTTGGGAGTTCCTTGATGTTAAGAGCGAACACGAGTAAGGCTCACAACAAGATAAGCGACATTTGACATAGTTCTTTTAACGAATTCCTTAGGAGTACAAATGTTAATCGATTCTAGAAGAATGTTGAAAACCTTTTCATGTCTTAAACAAAAATTAACAGTTCGGTACTTAAAAGGATTACATGTAAGATTATTTATAATAAACAAGCATCTAGTGTGCAGTAAAAATTCATTAACTTGAAAACGATTCAAAGAGGGATGAACTGGTATACACCTCCTTACGGTATACCAGCTTCTCTTGTTAAAGAAGTGGGATACTTTACTCTATACTCAATATAACGTTCTCTTCTAGAGAAATATGAATACGGTTAGTTATCTAGCTCTTGGTGTTAAAACTAACAAGCTGACCTAATAACTACGCTTTTGGAACAGAACCGAAGACAGAAGTATAATCTAGAAATAAATCAATATATTTGTAACATCCCAATGAATAGAAAAATTAAATTGTTTAATATTTCGTAACTCAGTGTAAGCCACTTCTTCAGAGAGTGAATAATCAAATCAAAATTAATCCAAGGTTAAATAGAAAGAAAACCAATGCAAATGTACTACAGTTAGGAGTTATGTACTTGCTGGTACTATATATATCCAAAGGTTTTGGACGGCAGTTTGAAAACCTAAATATTAATATTTAGACTAACACCAGATCATAATTGCAAACATAGATACACTATTATGACACGTTCTCCCCATTGTTTGTATGATACTGAAGATTAATCATAACAGTAACTAGTAATACTAAATATTCATTATAGAAATTATGTTACTAAGACTCAACAATTGTTTTAAATGTTTAAGCCTATGAATAGATGAAGACAGTTTACTTTTCCTATGAGATATCTATGTATTTCAGGGAATATGTATATATATTTGATATACTTCTATACTTGTTAATGCTATACTGTCAATCACTGTGAGATCTTCACTTAAATTATATAGTATGTTGTAAAGGTATAAATTGTGACGCTTTGACAGAAGTACATATATAAATCATATGTCTATTGAGTATAATCATTTAGTTAAGACAATTTTAAAGATAAATAGTTGATTGTAATATTTGGATAAATGAGAAACAAGAAATATATAGCTCATATTTTTTAATCAGACTATCAAATTAAAAGTATGGGGGGTTGTGGAGATTATTAAGTTTTTGATTGAGATCATGAAGTGATTGATGTTAGACCACCACCTTTGGAAACCTGGAAGCACTGAACGCCCATTTCGTCTTATTGCGGGACTCTTCAGCAGTGCGCATCCACGATCCCGCTTGCGGGATTCAAACCCAGGGCCTTCGGTCTCGCGTGCGAACGCTTAACCTACTGGATCACTGAGCCGGTATCCAATGGTGATGAACTCATCGTGTAGTATATGCTACTTATTTTAACATAAATAGAAAGATGTTTTTCATTATTCCGACTTATTCTGAATTATAAAATTACATCATTCATAACTGATTGATTTCAATCCATATCTTTCTGTAATACGATTAATCGATTTTCAGTTACTTCAATACATAATAATCCAATTTGTTTTTAATTCCATGAACTCTAATCACTATTTCAATGTTCTGGAATCTTCCAACCCTCCCTCAAACTTTATTTATTCGAAACAACAATTTTATGATCTCATTAACTCGAACGAAATCTTTGCTACATCGTGATACACCTATATTCATCCTTAATCACCCTCTTATGTATAAGTAAGTCAATATCTGTAGTAACATTGATTTTCAAATATTTTAGGTTGTAATCAACTGATGAGAACCTAATGAAATAAAATCAATTCATATTATTCTGCACTAATCTTTGTTCTTGCTCTTTTTAAGATAAAAAAAGGGAAATATCTGTATGACGTTGAGAATGTCCATCAGTGAGACTCTAATTTATGGACGACCTTTGAACGAATCTTAAGTGACCTTGAAAAATATTAGCCAATCAGCGAACAGTGAGTTTAGAGTAAAAATATATTGTACAAAACCAAGGAAATAAAGTGGATACACTTCTTATGTGTGGTTCAAAAACTTGTCAAGGTAAAAAAGAGGTTCAGAGGTTCTTAAATCGTAGTGCATGCATTAGAGGAAATCATCCATATGGCTACAGAATAGTCGGTCTATGGAACCATGATAAGGTCGCAAAAGCTCTTTCAGCCTTGACCACATAGCTTCAATATTGTTTGTGTGCACCCCGGTTGTTGAGTACACAAAATGCCACCATTGGATAACAACACGATGCACATAACCAAGCCTATGTATGAGTCTGTACTCTCTGCGATCATCTGTATATTTTGTAGTACATGGCTGCAGTCAGTGTTACTGGTGCTTTTATAATCCAGTTCCCACTAATTGTCATAATTTGCCTTAGTTAGCAATTATATATAGGGTTTTCATCACGAACTGACATCAGCTATAATCCCAGAAATTTATTTAGCCAAATGGATGAAAGGCTTTCACGTTGAAATCCGAGATTTATTATCTTATACCTTATTGATTCGTCCACAAATTATAGTCCCACCGTCTTATTTGTTACAGCTGCCCAATTATCACATCTTGCATAAAATCCCCTGTAAACCGATCATACGTTATCATTAGGCACTGAAGTTGGCGCCGTGACCTTGAAATCTCTCAAACGCTTTTGATTGGCTCGTCCATAAATTAAAGTCTCGCCTGTTCATCTACATAATACAGCTAAACCATTATAAGTAATTAAGATTAATAGTCACAGTGAATAATTAGAATTAAGAATTACATTTTTAAAGTTTTCATCATGAATTGACATCAATGATAATCCCAAAACTCTATTTAATCCAATGGATGAATGAATTTCATTTCAAAGTCCAACCAACACCTATTATCATAAACTTCATTAGTTCTTCTATAAATTATAGTTGAAACCGTTAATTTTATATTTACAACTCATTCAATTTATAGTTTATAGATTGAAATCATGAGTCAGCTGAAGTTAGACCACCATTGAAAACCTGGAAGTACTGGACGGCCGTTTCATCCAGGTTTTCAATGGTGGTCTAGCTTCAACTGACTCATGATTTCAATCTGTGAAATTTCTAAAACTCTCCACAAAACCCATTCTGATTATAGTTTATAGATTACGATTAGATATTGTAGAGTAGATTATTATTTTTTTTTTTTGTATTTCACTTTAGATGAATGTATATTCTTATTGATTAATATTGACGTCATTTCAAACAAAACAATCGATTAATCAATTTATGAAAATAAAAAATAAAAAAAACAATACTTAGCAACATACCCATTTACCAAACCTTTATTTTGTACACATGCAATGCATGTATGTTGTTTTCTTTTTTTCTTCTTTTTTTATCATTAAAAAAACTGTCTTTAAATAAAAAAAATATTTCTTTATAGGAAGTTCAGATAAGAAAAAACACATTCCAATTGGCGGGGGGTTGTGGAGATTATAGTAATTTAATAATTGAATTCATGAATCGATTAATTTTAGATCACCATGGAAAAGCTGGAAGTATTGGATGACCATTTCGTCCTAGTATGGGACTAATCAGTAGTGCATATCTTCGATCCCGCACATGACATTCTAAGCCAGGAACTCACTGAAGACACTGGTAGACGGTGGTGTAATATCATGGACTGGTTGAAGTTAGACATTAACACCATTGAATGCCGGCTCAATGGTCTAAAGGTTAAGCGTTCACGCGTGATACTAAAGGTCCTGGATTGGGATCCTGTGTGCGGGATCGTGGATGTGTACTGCTAACGAGTTTCATATTAGGGTGAGATGACCATCTAGTACTTCCGGGTATTGAATGATGGTCTAGCATCAATCGATTCATGCTCTCAATTAAAAATCTATCTTAGATTAATATTATTTTTATTCCATCTACTTGTATTTGATAAGCGTAAACAGCATTTCAAATATTTCCAGTTATTCATTTAAGAAGTTCAAAAGGTCTCATATCTTGTCAGTATATATGTTTAGTATATATATATATATATATATATATATATATATATATATATATATATATATATATATATATATATATATATATATATAGTGAAAAGGATTAGAGAATATACACTGGTGTACAGGCATACTGAAGATGATGCAAAAGGAATGTAGCATTTTTAAAACTGAATTTAAACTTTGCCCCAGTGCATAAGCTAGTATCTATCACGACTCAGTAGATAAATGGATAACGCGATGGCGTTTGAAGCGAATAGTACTGGGTTCGTGTCTCAGGGTGAACATTCAGCTGACAAGTCCCAAATTGGATGAAACGCGTGTCCTAGATTCCACTGCTAGCCACCACCCATTTATGTTTTTAAAACTGGTTATATCATATGGGAAAACGGGATTCATAAATTATTTTCACCGAACATTTATCACAAAGATAATGTGAAGCATATGATACAGGTTAAGTGTATAATCACATTTGATAATATTTTAGAGTACAGTATTATAATGAGAGTATAAACCTTGCTAGTTATATCTTGTAATCAGAGAGTTGCCTTTAGTAACCAATTTAAACAGAACATATATACAGGCTTTGAGGGAGGTCATGATGTAACAAAGAAATTGGCAAACAGAAACCAGTATTTAATTAGTAAGATTTTATATTTGCGAATGGATATTGTAGCAGAGATGGATCCTGGTAATGTAAGAGTATATCTTTGTTGTAGATCATTAACCATAAAGTTGGAAGTAGACAGGATCATTTCAATATAATTCTAACCAAAAGGCATTGAATATATTCTTTCATGCTGGTTTAGTTTTTGTCTAAAATAAATACACATAACCCAGTATGGAAGTAAATTCATGATTCTCAATTTCAATGGATCAATGATACTTATGAATCACTAAATTGTCATACAATGATTATCAGTTTTGCAGTTTGCTCCTCACTAAGACCGATGAATTTTGTATTTTTGTAGTGAACAAGACCATGAGCGGGTACAACCGAATGTAAATGGAAACGAAATTACAAAACATCTCACTACAATCTGAGAACCATAAAGTAAATACTTAATTTGCAAAATATCAATCCATTGTCTCAAGCTTGACTGTTCCTTTTGGAAATATCAGTCCATTGTCTCAGATTTCATTGTTCATTCAATTTCATACCAATTGCTTTCCGTTGCTGTTCTTTCCTTCTCGATCTTCTATTGAAATACACTCTATTCCTAACTATCGTTATATACTATTTATGTGTATATAAGTAATGCACATCACATTTTTATCAGAATGAGGATTTATAGAGATTGTAATAATCGTAACAGTTGAATTCTTTAGTTGATCTTAACTAAACCATTACATTTGAATGAATATAATATTAGATATTGATTACAAATTATTAAACGCATAATGATTATTAGATAATAACCATCAGAAACAAATTAGTATATACAGTTCGTTTTATGTAGAATACTTCAGATCAGTGTATAAGTTTTCATTCAGATTCGAATCTTGTACTCATTAGATTAGTTACTAAGATACTAAGTCAAAATATTGATTAACTTATGATGATATTTTTACAATTATAGTGAATTTTAAAAATTGATCATATCTAGTGTAACTTCACATAATGTAGTCTGATGGGTATTACATAAACGTTATCAAATGGAATGAATGAATGGTTTGTGAACATTAACTGATAAATATATTATCATGTAATTTGACTTTACTCAATTCTGATATTTAAACTCATATCTATATAAAGCGTTACAAATTCATGTATATTAAATAAATCCTCCAATTTGTAAAGTTGACGGTATAACTCGATAGTCGTAGTCATTTGGTAGTAGTAGTAGTAGTAGTAGTAGTAGTAGTAGTAGTAGTAGTAGTAGTAGTAGTAGTAGTAGTAGTAGTAGTAGTAGTAGTAGTAGTAGTAGTAGTAGTAGTAGTAGTAGTAGTAGTAGTAGTAGTAGTAGTAGTAGTAGGAGTAGTAGTAGTAGTAGTAGTAGTAGTAGTAGTAGTAGTAGTAGTAGTAGTAGTAGTAGTAGTAGTAGTAGTAGTAGTAGTAGTAGTAGTAGTAGTAGTAGTAGTAGTAGTAGTAGTAGTAGTAGTAGTAGTAGTAGTAGTAGTAGTAGTAGTAGTAGTAGTAGTAGTAGTAGTAGTAGTAGTAGTAGTAGTAGTAGTAGTAGTAGTAGTAGTAGTAGTAGTAGTAGTAGTAGTAGTAGTAGTAGTAGTAGTAGTAGTAGTAGTAGTAGTAGTAGTAGTAGTAGTAGTAGTAGTAGTAGTAGTAGTAGTAGTAGTAGTAGTAGTAGTAGTAGTAGTAGTAGTAGTAGTAGTAGTAGTAGTAGTAGTAGTAGTAGTAGTAGTAGTAGTAGTAGTAGTAGTAGTAGTAGTAGTAGTAGTAGTAGTAGTAGTAGTAGTAGTAGTAGTAGTAGTAGTAGTAGTAGTAGTAGTAGTAGTAGTAGTAGTAGTAGTAGTAGTAGTAGTAGTAGTAGTAGTAGTAGTAGTAGTAGTAGTAGTAGTAGTAGTAGTAGTAGTAGTAGTAGTAGTAGTAGTAGTAGTAGTAGTAGTAGTAGTAGTAGTAGTAGTAGTAGTAGTAGTAGTAGTAGTAGTAGTAGTAGTAGTAGTAGTAGTAGTAGTAGTAGTAGTAGTAGTAGTAGTAGTAGTAGTAGTAGTAGTAGTAGTAGTAGTAGTAGTAGTAGTAGTAGTAGTAGTAGTAGTAGTAGTAGTAGTAGTAGTAGTAGTAGTAGTAGTAGTAGTAGTAGTAGTAGTAGTAGTAGTAGTAGTAGTAGTAGTAGTAGTAGTAGTAGTAGTAGTAGTAGTAGTAGTAGTAGTAGTAGTAGTAGTAGTAGTAGTAGTAGTAGTAGTAGTAGTAGTAGTAGTAGTAGTAGTAGTAGTAGTAGTAGTAGTAGTAGTAGTAGTAGTAGTAGTAGTAGTAGTAGTAGTAGTAGTAGTAGTAGTAGTAGTAGTAGTAGTAGTAGTAGTAGTAGTAGTAGTAGTAGTAGTAGTAGTAGTAGTAGTAGTAGTAGTAGTAGTAGTAGTAGTAGTAGTAGTAGTAGTAGTAGTAGTAGTAGTAGTAGTAGTAGTAGTAGTAGTAGTAGTAGTAGTAGTAGTAGTAGTAGTAGTAGTAGTAGTAGTAGTAGTAGTAGTAGTAGTAGTAGTAGTAGTAGTAGTAGTAGTAGTAGTAGTAGTAGTAGTAGTAGTAGTAGTAGTAGTAGTAGTAGTAGTAGTAGTAGTAGTAGTAGTAGTAGTAGTAGTAGTAGTAGTAGTAGTAGTAGTAGTAGTAGTAGTAGTAGTAGTAGTAGTAGTAGTAGTAGTAGTAGTAGTAGTAGTAGTAGTAGTAGTAGTAGTAGTAGTAGTAGTAGTAGTAGTAGTAGTAGTAGTAGTAGTAGTAGTAGTAGTAGTAGTAGTAGTAGTAGTAGTAGTAGTAGTAGTAGTAGTAGTAGTAGTAGTAGTAGTAGTAGTAGTAGTAGTAGTAGTAGTAGTAGTAGTAGTAGTAGTAGTAGTAGTAGTAGTAGTAGTAGTAGTAGTAGTAGTAGTAGTAGTAGTAGTAGTAGTAGTAGTAGTAGTAGTAGTAGTAGTAGTAGTAGTAGTAGTAGTAGTAGTAGTAGTAGTAGTAGTAGTAGTAGTAGTAGTAGTAGTAGTAGTAGTAGTAGTAGTAGTAGTAGTAGTAGTAGTAGTAGTAGTAGTAGTAGTAGTAGTAGTAGTAGTAGTAGTAGTAGTAGTAGTAGTAGTAGTAGTAGTAGTAGTAGTAGTAGTAGTAGTAGTAGTAGTAGTAGTAGTAGTAGTAGTAGTAGTAGTAGTAGTAGTAGTAGTAGTAGTAGTAGTAGTAGTAGTAGTAGTAGTAGTAGTAGTAGTAGTAGTAGTAGTAGTAGTAGTAGTAGTAGTAGTAGTAGTAGTAGTAGTAGTAGTAGTAGTAGTAGTAGTAGTAGTAGTAGTAGTAGTAGTAGTAGTAGTAGTAGTAGTAGTAGTAGTAGTAGTAGTAGTAGTAGTAGTAGTAGTAGTAGTAGTAGTAGTAGTAGTAGTAGTAGTAGTAGTAGTAGTAGTAGTAGTAGTAGTAGTAGTAGTAGTAGTAGTAGTAGTAGTAGTAGTAGTAGTAGTAGTAGTAGTAGTAGTCGTAGTAGTAGTAGTAGTAGTAGTAGTAGTATCACAAATTTACGAAACTTGTACATACCGAATCTTGTTAATTAAGAAATCACAGATATTTGACACTTTGATGAGTCATTCTGGATCCAATCGATTATATTATCATCATCATTATCTTTGTATACATAACTTCTAACAAAGATTGAAACTTCATTTTTGTCATAGAGTAATTAATTACCTAGAAATTTTCTAATTTATGTAAACACTATGATTATCACATTGTAATAATACAAGTAGTCTGTATGAAATTCGGTTATATTTGTAATTGTCAGTAAGGGTATGGTTAAAAAACAAATAATAATCAATAAATATTTGTGTGACTGTTACAGTATTTAAGATATTAGGGAAAGTCTAGTTATATTTTTTAGATTGTTGCCAAAGGCATATAAAGAATGGAAACTGGTTTACATGTTATCGGAATAGAAGTGCTCAATGTAGTCAGCGTTATATGTATTTTTTGTAGTTGTTATTGAAATCAATTATTGAATTGGTGATAAACCATTTCTTGATTCAGTCTCAATAGTTAAATACAACAAGGGTTAGATTGATATCGTGAATGGAACAATGTTAGACCGCCATTGGATATCTGGAAGTACTGGATGGCCATCTCACCCTAATATGGGACTCGTCAGCAGTACACATATACGATCTCGCACATGGGATTCCAACTTAGGTTGTTTAGTATCACGCGCGAACATTTAACCTTTAGACCATTGAGTCGCCATCCAGTGGTGTTAATGTCTAACTTCGACCAATTAACGATACTGCGCCACCGTCCACTAATGTCTTCAGTCAGTAACTGTCACACAACAGATACGGTTGAACTCTATTGGTCACTGCTTCTCACTAGAACTCCAGGAAATACCTCTTGGAGACCGTCACTAGTGAGAATATGATGATTATAATCAGAGAAGGGTTTATGTGGAGATTGTAGTAACTTAACAATTCAGTTGATGAGTCAGTTGACGCTAAACCATCATTGAAAATCTCGAAGCACTGGACGGCCATTTTGTTGTAATATGGGACTCCTCAGCAGTGAGCTCCACGATCCCGAGATCTTGGATTACAATCTTAAAGCTTTAATGAATCTGGCTTCGAATATTCCGTTCCTTATTTTGTTGATCTGTGATAATAATTTTTATTTACTTTATTATCAATTAAATACATATCTTACCAATTAAGGAAATATATTATTACATTTAAACTATCTGATAGTTATTATTATTATTATTATTATTATTATTATTATTATTATTAATGGCTTTATTCAATATTATAGTTTTGGTACAATACAGAACCCTCAGCACAGGTTATTTTAACAAGTTCCTTACACAAAAAAACACAGAAACAAAGACAAAAAGGGAAAAAAGGGTTTAAAGAAATCTGAAAAAACTGGACAACTTTTCAAATTAGAGACCTGTTTAAGAATGCAGGTTATTGACTAGGTTGACCTGTTCGTCACAGAGTATATTTGCTAGGTAAGGTATTATAGAACTTTTATACTTTTCACTTGGTATTGTTTGGCTTGTATCTTCCCACTGATGCTAGCCACTATCCATCATTGCTTTTATACTTTTGCTTGCGTACATAGATTTTAATGTAATGACGTCTCGTCTTACCAGGAGATATACAAGGAGAAAGATATGAGTGAAAGATATGGTTAGCATCTGATAAGATAACACCTGCCAGAAGTTTGCATCACTTTAGATGTCTATCCCCAACCATATTATTTATGACCTCGAAAGATTCACCATACACCTCGCTAACCGCAATACAGCAAAGTCTTTTCTCAAAAGCTCGGGAAAGAATAATGGAGAACAGTAAAGAATAATAGGTAATATTGCAGGAATTGACAAATTGTAAAAGTAAATGACGAGTAATCCCAAAAGCATGCAGACTTTTTATATGGTAGGTCGGATGGACCAAGAGCGAGCAGAGGAATAAGTAACACCAAGATAATTGACCTTCGACACCATGCTTATCAGAATCTCCAACAGACCAACAATCAATACGAGACAAAAACTCATTTGTTTCTATGGGATGTAAAGAGGGAGAGATAGGCATACATACAGTGAGATCACCCACATATTTCACAAAAGTGTTTTCTGTGGAAGATGGCAAATCATGCAGAAAAAAAAGAGAAAAGAAGCGGTGAAAGAACAACTCCTTGTGGTACACCTTCGTGAGACAGTAGAGACTCTGATCACTTTCCATCTGATACAGTGTACTTTTCTCCTCCAGAGAGGTAGGAACATAGGCAGTTAGTTATCCAGCTGTCAGTGTTGATGCTGATTAACTTGTTAATTAAACGTTGTCTTGGTATAGAATCAAAAGCAGAAGTATAGTCCAGAAAAGCGTATCGAACATACTTCTTACTCTTTTATAAGTTGAACATTGTGTTGTGATGCAGAACAGTAACGTCATCTAAGGTGCTTCTTTTGTATCTGTAAGCAAACTGATATGGATTAATGTGCACTTTCATAGCAGACTGAAGTCGAAGTATCAATGATTTTTCCATTGTTTTGAAGAAGGGTGAAGTTATTCCAATAGGTCTAAATTTCACATTCTTATCACCAGATACTTTCTTGGGCACAGGGATTATCTTCATCTTTCTCCATATTTTTGGTATGAGATTAGATGAGAAGGATCTGTTAAAGATTTTCGTGATTGGATAACATAGGATGTCAGCACATTTTTTAAAAAGGAGTTTTGGGATACCATGAGGTCCTAGACATCTGAATGAATTAAGTGACTGGAGATATCTTCGAACATCAGTTTCAGTGAAACTAGGAACACAGCTATTCCTTAAACCTGTGGATGAAGGGAGCATTACATCAAATGACTGACGTACTAAAGACTTATTTAAGTCACAAACATTCAGCTGTTTATCACTCCTAATCTGTCTGTCACCTTTAAGTTCTTTATACAGTTTCCACATACATGGAGAGTTTTTGAGTAAACATACAGTTGAGACTTCTAATCTCTAGGTTTATCAGACCATTTAGCTTACGAACTTCATTAGAGTTCTTCTCCTTGTACATTTTTTCTTTCAACCTCCGTAGTCGTTTTAGTTGTAAAGATGTAAATCGATCAAAACTTACAAAAATAGTATCAGTGGGACAACAAATATCAAAACAGAATTTAAGGTAACAAGTGGTAACATCAGTAGTGATTTCCAATGAGTCATCTGTAAATAATTCCCCGTTAGTCGTATGAAATATGTTTTTCAGATTTCGGATATTTTCTTCTGTAAAATTCCTATATTTGACTTTCTTGGTTTGATGTAAGGGTGTACTCTTCCCATGCTTTCCATATACTTTAGGTAGAACACAAATTATACAGTGATCCGAGCTAGACAATGGAGCACGTTTACGAGTCGCATATATACCCACATCAATAATGAAAACGAAGTCTAAATGAGCATCCAAACGGGTAGGAAAATTTACTACATTCTGGTGACCTAGTGATGTAAGGAAGCTACAGTCACATAAATTGAAATCCCCACATACACCTCAAAGTGAATCAATGAAGGCAGTAACAGCGAACTCAGTGAATTCATTAGCGAAAACAGATAGCGCAGATGATGTGCAGTCTGGAGTCACGTAGATATTGGTAACATAAACATATTTGTATTTATTCAGATGTTTTGGACGACATCTTAGAGTTAGACAGTCGATAAAGTTATTTGAAAACTTGAAACACTCAAACGAAGATTGACACCAGTTCACGTTTAAGAACGTACCTACACCGCTGCCACACCTCCTTTTATTGTTTGATCGATCCTGACGATAAATTTTGAAATCACGTAATGATACTAGGTAGTCATTCTGTAAATCATTTAACCAAGATTCTTGAATTGTGATGACACCACAATTACGATACATATTTTGACTTAGTAGGAATTGCAGAAAGTCCACTTTGTTGATTAGTGATCGGCAGTTAGAATTTAGCAGCTCGGGAATCGACATACTATTAATGTTCATTCTCTTTAACGCATATTGCCAACCACCACGATGTCTTTTATGGTACTGTTTTGTAACTTGTGGAGCGAAAGGTCGTAGACTTTTCATAAAAGTGTCTGAATAGGTTATGCGATTAATGGACATAATTATAAGTTAAAACAAATGAAAAAAACCCAGATAACTTGTTGAAATAATTAGATGACAGAAACAGGTATCCCAAATATTCAAACAGGCCGCCAATTTGACACATAATATCAAAAATATGTTGAATTCATGAATCAATTTAAGCTAGACCATCATAGGAAACTTGAACGGCTATTTCGTTCTAATATAGGACTACCCAGTAGTGAGCACTCACGATCCCACTCGCTGGATTCGAATCCAGTACCTATCGGTCTCATGAGCGAACGCTTAAACTCTATACCATTAAACCGGTATTCAATAGTATTAATATCTAACTTGAACCAATTCATTTAACATGAAAAACATAACTAACTGAAATAGTATTGTTGTTTATAAAAGTAACCTAAAATCTTAATCAATCAATCAATTAATTAGAAAAACACAAATATCTAATAGAACATTTTGTGAATTAATGAGTAATTAACACAATTGACAAGTTTCATATTTACATGATGGATATACATAGAATAAATTTCAGTATCATTATGTAGTTAGTTTAAATGAACAATTTAGGCGCCTTTTTTCAGGTATTTAATTGATTTCGATTCAATTAATATTTTAAACTGAATGATTAATATTATAATTAAAAATGAATAATGGTTTATAATGAAATCCAATTTGACGCATGTTTCGTCCTATTTAAGACTCGTCAGCTTGTTAGATTGCGAGAAACATAATGAATGGTAACTTTGGAATCCTTTTATGGTCCAATACTAAACGTATTTTTCTGTTGTATAATTATTAAGTAACTAAACTATTTATATTTATATTCTTCTTATTATAAACTTTATTTTGACCTATGAACCATTATTATTATACGTTTTACTATTCTTGAATTATGCCCTGTCTATTAGTCACTGCCTCCCACATTCACAGCTACATTTGGCCAAATTTTGTACA